ATCTTCTAAAATAGACTAAATGTGCCATGCTCTACAAGTCCCTTTTCACTTAACTCACAGCATTGTGCTTCATACTATCTGTGGGTGAATGCAGCATTACTGTGATGAGGAATCTGTGTGGAGTTGACACAGGATTTCTAAGGGATTGTGGTAATCTTCTGTGCATATGAATGCCATGCACAGGTCAACACTCAAGAGCCCTGATGCGAGTTGCTGTTTGGGTCTGTCTCCATGCAACACCCCTACGACTCATTCTGCAGATTCCAGTAAAGATTTTCCTGGTGTGCCCGTGAAATTAATGATCTCATACAACCAAGAGTTTTTTGCCATTGCAATTAAACTTTCTGCTTCTACTGTAAATATTTAACGTGTAACACTGCAGCCACTTTTTAGCATACATGGAAGTAGCATTTAAAATCTGATCCGTTTAACAATGGAGCTTGTCTTAAATGGCCCTGAAAGACAAGTCTATTATTCAAATAAAACAAAAGGCAACAAACAGGCATAGATGGCAGAAGCTCAAAGGATTTAGCATCTATCTCATACATCAACAACTAAAAATGGCCCCAGTAAGCTATGACCAACTGATGGAGAACAATGGCTTACTAAAAATAGAGGCAAAAAGTGCTTGAAGCCATAGGAAAACATGACTAGCACTATATAAACTCAAGTCCTTGAAAGCCTAAGCCATTTGAAAAGGTAAGAGGATGCTAAGAACTATGCGCTTTGAGAACCTCTGTTCCACCGTGCAGCTGAATGGATGGCAGGCTCTGCTGGATGATGACTGTGAGTTAGGACAGGATCATTGGGAAAGAGCTCATTTACGCTCCTTATGGCTCTATAGAGCTTTAGTGAAGGGAGACACAAGAGGGCTTCGTAACCTCCTCAAAAGGAACTATATTGATGTTGATGTGTTTTACAATGTGAGCCGTGAGGAACTTGAGTGGCAAGCTCACACAGACACCAACTTTGGACCCTCAGGTAAAAACAGTCATTTGTGGGATAGAAACTTTGGAGGTGAATCAAAAAGATTGTTTGTTTTTTGTGCTGTATCAATGAATGAAACAAATATTGAGTTTATTCTCTGATATCAGAGAAGAAGCGAAAATTGTATGTTGCTGCTGTGGACAAATTTGATTAGATTTATATATTTAGATGCATTTTTATATATATTTATTTTTCTTTTATTGAGCATTTTAAACGATTATTTTTAGACTTTTTTGTACTATTTCTACTTTCAATATTTTAATTTATTTATATTTTTAACCAATTAGCAGACGTTTCTGTTATTTTAGTTAAATTGTTAGAGTATGATCTATTCTGAAAAACATTTATCTAATTTCTAAATGCCTAAATGGTTTGACATACACTACCATTCAATAGTTTTGGGTCAGTAAGATTTTTCTTATTATTATAAAAGGGATAGTTTCCTTGATTCTGATTGGCTGAGCCACGTTTGAAGCTGTTGTAAATTACTCTACAAACATACACCTTTGTTTACATTTGTCTGTTGCTCAGCAACCACTTTGTTGCAACCACAACTGATTCTGAGGAACTACATTGTTTGGTGGAAGAATACTGTTTTTATTAATATCATTACATTTTATTTGCTCTGTTTTATTTTGTGAAACCGTACTATGTACATGGAATAACCGTTTTATAAAAGCAATAAGCCCCATGAAGCCGTGGTTTACAGTGAATTTATAACAGCTAAGGGGGTTTTACATTCTAACAATGCCCCTTAGCTGTTATAAATTCACTGTAAACCACGGCTTCTTGGGGCTTTAATGCTTTATTATCACTGTTGAAAACAGTTGTGCTGCTTAATCTTTTTGTGGATTCCTTAATGCACTTTTTGATAAAAGTACCACAAAAGTTCAAAAGAACAGTATTTGTTTCAAGTAGATGAAAAGAAACATCTAAAAAGTCTCGACTGTCACTTTTCATCACTTTAATGCATTCTTTCTGAATTACAGTGTTAATTCCTTTCAGAAAAAAATAAATCTAACTAACCCCAAACCTTTGAACAGTAATATATGTATTTTTTTTTTAAGTATAATTTTGGTGTGTTTTTTATAAGATTCATTCAATAATTCAAACACATAATTTGTGACAGTCTGACACCTACAGTATTTCCCATTCCAGGTCTTTGGTCTTTGGAGTATAAAAGAGAACTGACAAGCCCACTGTGTATTGCTGCCGCACAAGGTTTCTCTGAATGTCTGCAATATTTACTGGAACACGGCGCACATCCCAACCTTATCGCAGGAGGAAAAGCAGCACTTCATGAGGCCTGTGCAAACGCCAACACTGAATGTGTAGAGCTGCTGCTGGAACATGGAGCTAATCCTAACCAGATGACAGACGAGGGACTGACTGCCTTACATCTCTGCAGAACACCACAATCACTACGGTATCATCATATGAATTTGATACATAATTCACTATGTATCATTACACCTTATAATAAATATAATCGTAGGTATAATTTTAAAGTATTTGTAAAAATATAAATATAATAGTCAAATATGTCATTATACACTAGTACAAACTAATATGAAATCCATACTAATATAATATAAATAATATTTAATCTCTTTAAGTTGTGCAAAAGCCTTGGTGAGATATGGTGCCAAAGTGAACTCACCCAGTGAAGAAGAGGAGGAAACACCACTGCATGTGGCATCTAGACATGGTCTGCCCCACCATGCACAGTTGTACCTACGATTCGGAGCCTGTGTGAACCATGGCAGCTCTTCGGGTGAAACGCCATTGGGGGTGGTTTGTGGAGTTGCCCCAGAAAAGACAGACAACAGCCAAGATGAACAATACCTCGAGATCTGTCGTCTCCTCCTGGCCTATGGAGCTCAGATTAATTTGTCTGATGAAGAACGCCGCAGTCCTCTTCACAAGGCTGCCCGCAATGTTCAGCTTAAGGTGGTGGAGCTTCTCTTGGACCATGGGGCTGATATCAGTGCCATTGACTATAACGGATGTTCACCGTTATCGAGTGTTCTACAAAGCTCTGTGGTTCGGCAAGGGTGGGAACCTCACAGGGTTGTTCAGACCTTGTTAAATCGGGGCTCTATTAAAGTCTGGCCACAAGCACTGCTGAAGGTGAACACTAAGATAATAGCCCTGAGTTTTATTCTATACATTAAACAATCGTTTTATTTCATGGCATAAACATTCTTCAATAAAAAAGGCTGTTTTAAAGTCTTATTCATCTTTCTTTTATCTGCTTTTTGGTGTGGTCACTTAAATAAATTATTTTCATTTGTATTTTTTGGTTTTAAGGTATTAACAGCCTGCGCAGAGGCACCTAAAACTGTGGAAATCCTGTTTAACTCATACACACTTGTTCCTGTGACCTCCAAATGGGTTGAGGCTATACCCGAGGATATTTTTCACGTAAGTCTTTCATCATTTTACAAGGGTTTTTGCATTCATTACAAGACGAAGGCTTTGGAAACATGATTCACATGTAGAATAAAAGTTTCAAAAATAGTGTAGCAAAACAATGCTAAAAGGTTTTAATTTTGGAATGAGTCAATGCATGCTGATGCTGTTGGTATTATTGTACCATATTAATACACAAATTATTATTTTTTATTTATTTGTTTTAGCTTCACAGAACCTTTTATGAGTCTCTCTTTGCACTGGAGTATAAACCACGTAGTTTGCAGCATCTGTGTCGGTCTGCACTGAGGAAAGAGTTTGGGAAAAACTGCTGCTCACTCATTCCCAGGCTCCCCATACCAAAGCCACTTGAACAATATCTTCTTTTGGAACCGGAGGGGTACATTGACTAGCTAGAATCAGACCTTTTGGCAGAAACCCTTAGGGAAGGGAACCTTAAGGGTTTTTAATGCAAGAAATGTAACACTCTGACAAAGATGACTGCCTTAAGTTTCACTTGCAAAGTCACCATACAGTGACATTTTTAGAGATTGTATTTTTACCACCTGTTTTCATATAAATAATCTAATATATTTGTGTAAATAGCTTTCCAAAATATCTGATTGTTTGAATGACGGCATGTTGCAGTTGCAGTTGCAGCTCAATTCACGTTTATTGCATATTATTTCATTAAGAAATAATTTTGTCTGTCAATAAAATATATTTTGTCAAGTCTGACATTTCTTTCTTTATTTCTCCAGTGTACAGTGTGTTATATGTAAGCGTTGGTACTCAGAATACAGCTATACACTCTTAAAAATAAAGGTGCTTCAAAAGGTTCTTCAAGCGATGCCATAGAAGAACCATTTTTGCTTCCACAAAGAACCATTCAGTCAAAGGTTCTTTAAAGAACCATCTCTTTCTTGCGTTTTTGTAATCTGAGGAACCTTATTTCGCCACAAAGCACCTTTTGTCAAACAGAAAGGTTCTTCAGGTGTTAAATGTTCTTTATGGAACCATTTAGACAAAAGGGTTCTTCTATGGCATCGTGAAGCACCTTTATTTTTAAGAGTGTAGCAATGGGTTGGTAGAAATAAGTAATCTAAAGAAAGAGATACTGACATTTATCAGCCTCAATGCATGAAATTTGATTACATCGTCAACGCTGTTTGTGTGGACCTGTGAATTGCACTTGTTTTGATGTAGTAAGTTGACTTTAGCACTAAATAAACGTTATTTATTTGTTTGTAGTTATTAAGTAATTAAATGTCTGGTCAGTTGATGTTAACATGGCGGCCATGAGAGGGCGACCTGCTCCATGTGGAATATTTGTTTCTTTTTTATTTTATTTTTTAAGAAAGGATTTTATCTCACGTGAGTGTAGCCTACATTACTTTAATTATATCTCAACAGTATCCTACTAAATCTCGTATTGTGTAAATCTTTTTGTAAAATAGCCTAATTAAACACTGCGCCTATATTATTATTAATCCTTTCATAATACAAGAGCTTTAGCTAAAGAACTCTCTCTCTCTTTAATTCCTAATTTCCACATTCCACAGACTGGGTTCGCATTATGTGCGTCTCTTGGTCAAAAAGTGCGTACTCGCTTTAACTGCGTTGGGCCACCGGGGAGCGGTAAACGCACCGCTATTGAAGTGAATGAACGGCGGTGACGCACAAGCTTCACGAACGAACCGGATCAGACAGACTCTCGCGTGTCTTGTCACTGTTATCTGTGCCTGTCAGCGTTACCGGAGTCGGTTGTTCATCCAAGCTTTAACGAGTTTCGTCGCCTTCATTTTTTTGCAGTGTACGTGAGCGTTAAAGTGCAGAAGAGAAAACGGGAGGCATGTGAAGTTACTGTCACTTTCACCAGAGATGAAGAATTCAGTTGAAGATGAGTGCGCTGATTCGGGAGCGGAGACCGGAGGGTGAGTAATGACAAACAGGCTTGTTTTAACAAAGAAAATGAAATAAATTACATAGGATAGGGAATATAGCTATAATGCACTAATTAGGATAGACACCAATATGCTACACATTTTTGATGAGGATTCTGATACCTGAGCAGCGTAGGACAGGTCATCAAAAACCATTAGACAGCGCGCTTGTTTGAAGTTTTCTCGTTTGGTTTCTACCTCGTTTGGCCCGTTGTATTTAACCATCTGTTGTTTGGTATTAACACCCAAGACATCTGGCGCAGAGATTTACTGCTGAAAAGTAGCTGGAAAGCCAATGAGCTGAGCTATTAGTGCATGCTGCTTAGGCTTTTTAGCACAAGAGAGTGACAGAAGTAGCCAATATACTAATCACATAGATTTAACTCTCTATTATCTCAAAGTCATGTATGATCTGTGCCATCATTCTGTGATTTCAGCTGTGAACGATGAAAAGATGCATCCTGGTTTGTTTATAGGTATGTCATATCATAATGGCTGTCCTGACTTGTTGGTGTAGGTATGGTGATTTAGTAGGATAGTAGACTACCCTCTCTATCCTCTACCAACTGTTTGTATGGTATATATGTGTATATCTGCTTTAGAATATTATTTCTTTACATTTGTTCTGAAGAAAATGGCCGTGGTACCTTTCTAAGGCTGATGATACACGGGACAACTTTTTTTGAGAAATGTTGCTTGGGCACTTTTCCATTAAGAATGGGTAACATATTTCTATCTGGATATTTTAGATCGGTCTTGGGCTCTTCGTCTCACCTTGTTGCCCATTGATGGCAACATTTCTCAAAGTTGCCCAGCAACATTGCTCAAAAATTTGCTCAGTGTATCATCAGCCTAATGACTAACTCTTCAATTAGCTAATGCATTTATCCAAAGCCACTTACAGTAAAACCTTGAGCAACCTGGGGTCTAAGCTCAAATGGTGATGGCTTATCCCTTGTTGAGTTTGAACCACAACCTGTAATCTGACCACATTTAACCACTAAGATACATCATCTAGTACCTTTAAACTTGACTTCAAAATGTACAAAACCATCTTAGAAATTCATCTGACCCTGTTTTGATCCTGTAATTTTAATATGTAGGACTTATTGTTCCTATGTAAATATATAGAGTTTCTTCCAAGCTTATTCGATTAGCCACTTACGAAAGAATACATATTGTAAATGTCAGATTTGGTTGTGATGTGGCTGTCTTGGTGCTAAATGAGAGCTAAGAGATGTGTGTGGCTTATATCCTCATTTAGTTCATTTAACAACAGTAACCGTAAACTTCACTGATGGCAGTAAATCAGAGACTTTCAAAAAGGATGTTTTCTAATGATGCTTGAGAGTGCATTGTTTAAGTGTGAACAACATGCAGAAAACTATACAGCCCTCACTGATTCAGGAATAGCAAACATAAAACATATGAGATTCACTGTAATGACATTACTGTCCACATTTCTAGTAATGATTTTATTTGTATTAAGTATTACATAGAAGCACATAAAAGTGCTTTTGCTGTTAAATGCAAAGTATAGACCATAGTATTTACACTGTTCAAAAGTTCGGGGTTGTGCTTCTTTATATATTTGTAGAAAACTTGATTCATTCAAGATTCTTTGATAAGTTGAAACGAACAGCATTTATTTGAAATAGAAATCAGTTGTAACATTACAATTGCCTTTAGCGTCACTTTTTATCAATTTAAGGTGTGTCTTTGCTGAATAAAAGTTTTCCAAAAATAAAATGCACCGATATGAAAATTTTGGCCGATAACGATAACGATTATTCTTTATTTTTGAAAGCCGATAACCGATATGTTGGCCGATAAATCTATATCCAAATTGTTATATACTTTTTGAGAGCCTGATTACAAAAAAGGTCTCATCATTAAAAGCCACATCCCAAACACTTCAACATAAGCAGCCTAGTTTGAACGGTGTACGTTTTTAAAATATTTTTACTCTCCCATTACCAAATTTAGTCATAAAAAAGTCTTATAAATAAATAAAATAATGCATAAATAATGCAAACAAGTCACTGGACATCATTACACGTGTAAAGAATCAAAATGAATGTGCCACAGATCAATAAAACAGAATAGCCTCTGCACGGACAATAATTAAATGATTTTAATTACTAAACCATATTGTTGATGAAAATAATAAGAGAAAAATACAAGTGGTTGTTGTTATTAATAATGTATCAATGATTTTGAAAAAGTAACAAATTAATACCACTGTTTTAAATAGCAGCCGTTGAGCTGCGCTTGCTGAAGCTGAAGAGCTGAATGAACATGGTAAACTGAAGCGTTTTGCTGGCAGTTTATTTAATTAAAGGAAATGCATCCTGAGATTGATGTTAATTCAACATAAACATAATATTACAACTTATATATGTACAAAATGACGTAGTTATTGCGTGCTATAGTCAGAATGTGTGATCCTGTTGTGGATGCGCTCTTCCCATAACAACGCGCTGAAACACAGCAACTAAACCCAAAGAATGCACAACGTTTTATTATAATAATGTTCTCATTAGAATGTTATATACACAACATTCCCAATCATAGTTATTAATGTTGTGCACTGCTGTTTTGAGTTTATCACTGGTAAACTGAAGTGCTCTTTTAACTTAACCAAATGCATTCTATATGAGATAAATCAGATATACATCAAATAAACACAATATTACAACGTACAATTGCACAAAAGGCTGCAAACGAACAGCGCGCATCTGAAGTGTCTCTGAAGGAAATAATGCATTATTTATCGGCTTTAAGATATCGGCCAAATTTTCTTATCAGGCCGATACCGATAACAGAAAAAATTAGCATTTATCGGCCGATACCGATATGGTGGCCGATATATCGTGCATCCCTAAAATAAATAAATATTACTGATCCCAAACTTGTAAACAGAAGTGTTGAACCAATGCACCACATACCAGTTCAGACCATACTATTACAGCATTAAATTAGAACATTCAAATTTCAAGTTTAAGTACATGGAATTTCCCTGTTCTTAAAAAGAATTTAATACCCTGTTACACTGTTTTCACTACCAGAGAAACAGGAAAAAGACAGAGGGAGAGGAAAGGGAAAAAGATTGACCAGAGAGCGATAAAAGGGGAAAAAAGCATGTACAATGAAATCAAAATGACTAGGTCATATGAAATATGTCAAATAGGTCTTATGCTTTGTTTTTTACCTTCTTCATCAACCGATGAGCTGAGAGAATAGAAGGTTTCTGACACAAAGCAGCAAGACACAATATTTGATCATAACCTATACATATATATGTGCATAATACACTAGAGACATTACTACACACTAACACACACACTCTATATACCATGACACCCAGGATTGTTTATCCAGATGTAGGACCTTCCTTTGAAACCTTGGGATCCTAAATCTCTAACAAAAGTCTTTCTCTGTTTCTCTCTCCCCTTTCTGTCATTCACTCTCTTCTCAGGTCTGACTACAGTCTTATGTCATCAGCAAGCAGTGAGTACATGCCATTTGTTTTTTATATTCCCCTTTATGCAGTTCAGATCAATTTTCCAACATGCCTTAATCAAACACATATTCGCCATATGTTATGTCCTTTAAATCCCTTTTCCTCTTCCACCTTGTGCTCATTGGGGGGTTTATAAGAGACTATTCTTTCTAAAGCTGCTTTTGGATTCATTAGTATTTTGAAAAGAACATTACAATTTAGAAGTGGAAGATTTCTGTCAGTTAAAACACTTGACAATTGTTGCCATGACAGTGAGATTAGTTTGTTCAGGGAATCACTGCTTGAAGTGCTTTGAGAGCTCTTAACACCTCTGCTTGTTTGTGTGCGAGTGCCTGCTTGTGTGTGTGTCTGGGGCTGACCTTTCCCCATGGCTGCGTCGGGCCCAGTCTGTTTCCCTATGGAGGGATTTATGTCCAATATTAGCCCATTAATCTGGGGAGCAGGAAACACTCCTCCCAGTGACAGTGCAGGAAGCACTCTCTCACTCACCCACTCACATTTAGACGCACTCACCTACTCTCACACACACACACACACTAAAACTTAGAGCCCATCGAGGACACCACATAATAGACTGTGTATAATTTACTGAATGAAGAAAAGTGGTTCAATGTGGACTCAGGGACAGAAAATGTAGAAAACAGAATGAGATGGTTTGAGGAATAATGTGAGATGTGGAGAACTAGTGGGGCTGGAGAAGAATTAAATGCTTAAATCTGTTCTCACATATGAAAAAATAATAATTTGATGACAGGGACCAGGGTGCAATTTACAGTAGAATATTCAACAATTTTGAAACAAAATAAATGTATTTATTGAATAATATGTATTTTTATTTTATCCTGCTTATAGACATGAGGGTGGTATTGTCTAGAAAGGGAGTTCTTTAGAATTTATACTGTCTTATTTTATATTCCATTGTCTTTTTTTTTCTTTGTCTGAGCACCTTTGCATGGATGAGAGATCTGTTTTTCACTTTTTCCACCACATTTCCCCTTATTGTTTCTACATTCTGTCTCTTTTTTAATGGTATGACAGTATGCTTTCTTGAAAGGCTGCCATGAATAACTGCTTAATGCTGCATCATCAGTCATGTCAGCATTTCGCCACTTCTGCAGCTCATCAGATTTTCTTTGTATCCATACTTTCCTCTATATATCTTTGTTCACTAACAACTCAAGTGCATATTCTGTGAAATCTGTTTCACCTCTTTATAACTCTGGACACTTTACTACACTGAAAAAAAATGTGCTTCATGTGGTAACATTTAAATAAATTTAAAGTCAAAAATCAAGCTAAAACCATTATGTCACACGAACAAATCGTTAGATCAGAGAGAAATAGCCACTTAAAGTAACAATTGCAGGTTTTTACAGTGTTAGAATGACACCAGATAGGAGTGTATATTAGGGATGGTTAAGCTGGGGCTAAATATGGTGTCTTATTTAATGTTAGTTGCTTAAGTCTCAAACAGCCAGATTACATTCCATTACAGACTCAACTAAGATTACAGATGGTTTAAAGTGATCGAGGCTTCTTGAATCTAAACTAACATTTAAAAATACATTATATTTTACTTTAACATTTCCTTTGAGTGAAATCTATCAAATAATGTGATTAAGTTCAGTATCTGTGGTTTCTCCTCATAATTGCATAAGTAATCATTCAAATTATGCTGTTATAAATAGAGTGCTGTAAACAGTGTCTGAATAAACCATGTGTCTGCAGGGCAAAGTGCCCTAACATTCACATTTAATTTCTTCCAGCTGAAAGCTTTTGGTAATTAAAACATTAATAACTGGATCACATTAGGTCTATTGTAAGGCTGCCTGCATATGTAATACTGTACAATAGAGAATGTATTGTGTGTTTTTAAGTCTGAACAAGTACCTTTGCCTAGTGAACACACTGCTTGGTTTTTCCACACTGATCGATTGAAAGGATCCTTCAATGAACTCAGATGTGCGTCAGTTACACCTACAAGAGTGCAGTGCAACTAGAGAAGAGTGTTTACTTGCGTGAGTGTGTTTTTGTGTGTAAGTGTGTAAGAGCATAGCGTTCCCTCGGCCTCTGGTGCCACCAACCTTAAACAACAAACAAAGTGGGACGGGTCCCATGGGTCAGGAGAGTTTGGGGTGAAAAAAAAGAGTAGGCGAAAAGAAAGAGGCAGCTGTCCATGTTCTGCCACTTTCTGCTATATTTATTTTTTTTTTAGAATGAGAATAGCTGCACAATATTTCTCATAATATAATAACAACACAAAGATTTTTGTGTTTTTTTATGGCAGAGAGATGAATATATCAAAGGGGTTTTTAAGGGCTTGTTATGTTATGTTATGCAGCATTACTCATATAATGTAGAGACATCATGTGTTTTCACACATCATATAAATACAGTCATTTATGACATGTTTTAATTGCTGCTCTCGTTGATCTCATTTTGCAGTCATAAAACGTCACATTTGCCTTGAACACTTTGTTAAGGGGGTCTTTCATGTACATTTGTGCTCAGGGATATTTGTGCGTGTGTGTGTGTGTGTGCACTCAGGGCTCACTATGGTCAAAGGTTCAGTGGAAGGGCAAACCTTATTCAGAAATCCTACAGGGAGCCAAAGCATTTCTCCAGGGTTACTAACCATCCACTAATGCAACTAATGAGGCTGCACTGTTCGCTATACAGCCTGATTACAGAACAGGAGAGCATGGATGAAAAGATTTCATTCAGTCTTGAGAGCCAATCCATTTTCTCTGTTTCGTACTGTTCTTTCCTTTATAGACGTTCAAAGCAAAATAGGTTTCCAGTGACTCCTGACGCCAGAATAAAGCAGAACATGTAACACACTAATACAAATAAAGGGTAGAACTAAGTTTGTTTGTTTTTTACTAGAATGTAGAACTTTATTTTCCTCTGAAACTTCTCTCTTGTAACATATCCAGACTTCTCCACTCATTAAGCCAGCTCTTCCACCCCTTTCTTACAATCCACCACAAGCTTGCGTTCAGATCTCCCTCCATCCAATCCCATCCCAACCATACATTTTTTTCTATTTTGATAATCTGTTTCACTTTTATATTTTTCACTAAAACGAAGAAGAGATCTTCTTGCAACTTCTGTTTCATCACAACTATAATTAACATATTGTAATATATTATATTAAATCAGTATAGCTCCATACTTTTATGGATCATTTTCTCATCTTTTAGGTGATTTGTCCATGGGGGACCTACAAGATCCTTTCCTAGTTTCTATCCACATCATCACTGACCCTGGTCTGGCCAAAACGCTCCAGCAAGCCACTGATCAGGTCCTCTCCTGGCTCCACCCTGATCTCACCCTCTTCAGGGTGTCAGAACGGGCAGGTGGTCTCTCTCGAAAGCCCCAGGTCCGCCTGCAGCGCGTCACCGAACCACCATCGCACCAGCCAGCCTTGGCTGTAATCCTGTTTCTACAGGATGAATATGGAGGTGAAGAGAGTCTTGAACGTCTCCACAATCAGCTGAGATGCCCACCGTGGCGATACCACCACACAGAGCGGGTGAACGGGCAAGGCCTCTTACCATTTTCTGCAGCCAGCCAGGACTTTGTTACACTTGCACCAGGCACACCACTATGGGCACTTCGCCAGGTGCACTACGGCAAAGAAATTGTGCGCTTTACAGTCTATTGTCGCTACGAGACCTACACCGAACAGGTGCGTCTGTACAGGCTGCTCCTGCGCCGAAGGCTAGCCCAGAAGAAGGAGGATTTCTGCTTCTGTGTAGTTTACTCCAACCCTGAAACAGAAATCCAGCTGTCATTCAAGCGGATGCCCCATGGCCAGAACCCCGTCCCCACTGAAAATGCTGTGATGGAGATCAGAGTGAGGGATGTCGGTGAACTTGTGCCACTGCTGCCATGTCCCTGCATGCCTATCAGTGACGTCCGCTGGCAAACAAATGATTATGACGGGAATAAAATATTGCTACAGGTAAGACAAGAGATGTAAAAAAAAATATAATGCACTTTTCCATATACATTTGAATATATTTTAATATTCATATGTATTATTCATGCATGATAACCTAAATTTGTAATGTTGGATTAAAAAGCACAATATGTTATGCATCAACTGCCAATACACCTTTTTAAACCTTTTACTATTAAAAAAAAACTTTTCAAGCTTGTGATGAGTTTTTGCAAATCAATTAGTACTAACTAGGTAACAATAGCCAAATTAGGTTAACATGGGACGTGGTAGTGTTAGACTACAAAATCAAATATCCTAGACTAATTTCATTACATTATTAATTTTCTATGGTTTGGAGTAGTTCATTCATAGTTTTGAACCTTGTCTTATCTTTAGATTTTCTTATATATACTTTTAATTTTGAATGATTTGTTGTGATTCATCATTCAGTTGCTTTGGTTCAAGGCTTAGGGCTCTTTATTCAGAAATTTTCTTTCATGCCTATGGAGAAAAATAATGCTTCCATAACTCAGGTCCCTGAAATCACATTTGAGCTCTGTAATGATGCTCTGCAAGCGGCGTTGTGAATCAGTTTTTCATTACTGGTTGTCTCTGCAGAATTTACCTTCAGAGAGCAGTTCATATTCTCTTGCTGTGGCGTCCTGAAGGTGTTTTGGTAGAAACCAAACAAACCAAAATTTAAAAAAAAAAAGGGAATCATTGCGACCTTCTCTTCCTGATACTTAGCTACTGTAGAAAACAAATGCTGTTAGTAACTACACTGATGAAACAAATGTACCACAGTTTTGAGCAAAATTGATACTGAGCTCAGGTTCAGACCAGGCAACTGAACAGAGCATTACTGCTTAAACACCCTGCATAGTTGCATACAGTGAAAAAAAATGGTATGCAAACACCAAGGCACTGCATAAATTGTACACATTGATTTTTTAAAATGTGTCCTGGTTCAGATCCAAACACCTCTGGCCTTTTGTGTTTGTGTGTTTATGTGTGTGGAAAGACTGTACTCAATGTAAAAATACTCAAACAAACCTAAAGACAGCCAAATTAACTAACGCACAAGCACATACAGGTCAATTCTGCCTGATCTTGATTAGCTGCGATCAAAGCAGGTTTGGCTCTCTGTCACAACTACAGCCTCATTACTAATCAACCCCTGCTTGTGCCAAATGGCACAGAGAGGATTTCACACATAACACACATTATGTCTCAAATGAAAAAAAAAAAAAAAAAGCTGAACTGGTTGTAGATATAGACAAGCTCTTTCGCTTTACCTAAGTTTCCTTTGAATTTATGGACTATAATCTGCTGCTGAACATCTGAAACATTTCATGTTTGGAAAACAACAGGGACGGGGGTATATAGACTGGAGTAATGGCTGCTGAAAATTTGTCTTTGCTATGACAGGAATAAATAAAAAATCAGAAAACAGTACATTTTTATATTTCACAAATGTACTGTTTTTACTGTATTGTTGAAAACATAAATATGAGACTATTTTCAAAAATAACTCCAAACTTTAGAATGGTATTGTAAACATTTTTACGAAACTATAAATTTGTTTACTCACCAAAGACAATTTTACTCACATTTGGTGCTCAATGAGTCCGAAATTTCCATACAGGGAAATATATACTATTTTGAGGGAGATATAGTAAATACAGAATGAATATAATGGCATGTAATTAGAGAAATGTATGACTGTGGAAAACGTGGGAAATCTGTGAGTGGAACAGTGAGGAAGAAGGGTACAAAGAGGCTCAAAGATGGATGGAAAACCAAATAAAGCAATAGAAGAAAATGATCGAGGGAGAGGTAGAGGGATGGAGGGGATGTGCAGTGAGGTGTGAAGCAGAAAACAGTGGAACTTTGTTACTCTAATGCACACACACTAAACAATGCTTGCTATGTTTAAAGATAAATTTTCCTCTCTCTCTCTCTCTCTCTCTCACTCTCTCACACACACATACACATACACAGGTATACAGTTACCTTATCAAAGCCACATTCCCACATTGTGTTTTGTTTGGTATCTGCAGGAACATGGTTCCCTTTCCCAAGCTATTTTTGTTTAATGTCAAACTTATTTTGACAGCTCACTGCAGATATGTTGTTCATCATATTGCCATGTGAAAAGTTCACGATTTAAAGCAGCTGGTTCTTAACTTGTTTTGCTTTAAGATCAGATTTTATATTGACATAGATTGTCAAATGGCAACCAAATATGTATTATACATAAGCTAACCAAAATATCCTTAATATCACACATTGAGGTTTACTGTTGAGTTTTTGCTGCATTTTCGATCAAATAACTGCAGTCTTGGTAACCATTATTTAAAAAAAAATCGTACACATTCCAAACTTCTGAATGGTAATGTTTGTGTAGATTTTATTATCAATATAGTACTTTAAATAAAAGGTCCCACCTTATATTAGGTGGCCTTAACTACTATGTACTTACATCAAAAAATAAGTACAATATACTTACTGTGTTCATATTGTATTGTAAAAACATGTATGTACACAATAAGTGCATTGCATTGAATGATTAATTTAAATGTAAGTACATAGTAGTTAAGGCCACCCTTATTTGGGACCAAATAAAAATAGGTACTAGGATCTGCAAAAATGGTGTCCTGAACATATTAATTGCACATAATTTTTGAGATGTCTTTGTTATGGGCTATGGTTAGGGGTAAGGGTAGGTTGGGGTTAGGTCAAATAATGTCATATTTGCATTAAAAATGACATAACCGAGCGAATGACACTTAATGACAGTTGTCATAAACATGCATAAAAAACCTTCATATTCATGACATGTGTCATGTCATGATTATGTAGGTGTCATAATCATGATTATGAAGGTGTCATGTCAGTCTTATGCACACCCCTTCAAGTAAAGTGTAACCGAGAAGATATTATTAGATAATATATCTCAAAACAATGACTTTTTGTATATATATATGACGTCTTAAACATTGACATCTCATATACACTGTTCATGAAAGTTCTTTTAGTGAACTGTCTGCAGTAACCCTAGTGTTCTAAAGTGTGAGTATTGTAATAATAAGAGTTCATAAAGTTGTAATATATATATTTTACATAACATTATATGAACTCTTAATAAATGAGTCTACATGGAGTATTTGTGCTAAATAATTTTCACACACCACAGGACAGTTAGTGAAGGTAAAAATGTGAATAAAATGTAAAAAAAAATATAATGCACTTTTCCATATACATTTGAATATATTTTAATATTCATATGTATTATTCATGCATGATAACCTAAATTTGTAATGTTGGATTAAAAAGCACAATATGTTATGCATCAACTGCCAATACACCTTTTTAAACCTTTTACTATTAAAAAAAAACTTTTCAAGCTTGTGATGAGTTTTTGCAAATCAATTAGTACTAACTAGGTAACAATAGCCAAATTAGGTTAACATGGGACGTGGTAGTGTTAGACTACAAAATCAAATATCCTAGACTAATTTCATTACATTATTAATTTTCTATGGTTTGGAGTAGTTCATTCATAGTTTTGAACCTTGTCTTATCTTTAGATTTTCTTATATATACTTTTAATTTTGAATGATTTGTTGTGATTCATCATTCAGTTGCTTTGGTTCAAGGCTTAGGGCTCTTTATTCAGAAATTTTCTTTCATGCCTATGGAGAAAAATAATGCTTCCATAACTCAGGTCCCTGAAATCACATTTGAGCTCTGTAATGATGCTCTGCACGCGGCGTTGTGAATCAGTTTTTCATTACTGGTTGTCTCTGCAGAATTTACCTTCAGAGAGCAGTTCATATTCTCTTGCTGTGGCGTTAAAAATTTAAAAAAAAAAAGGGAATCATTGCGACCTTCTCTTCCTGATACTTAGCTACTGTAGAAAACAAATGCTGTTAGTAACTACACTGATGAAACAAATGTACCACAGTTTTGAGCAAAATTGATACTGAGCTCAGGTTCAGACCAGGCAACTGAACAGAGCATTACTGCTTAAACACCCTGCATAGTTGCATACAGTGAAAAAAAATGGTATGCAAACACCAAGGCACTGCATAAATTGTACACATTGATTTTTTAAAATGTGTCCTGGTTCAGATCCAAACACCTCTGGCCTTTTGTGTTTGTGTGTTTATGTGTGTGGAAAGACTGTACTCAATGTAAAAATACTCAAACAAACCTAAAGACAGCCAAATTAACTAACGCACAAGCACATACAGGTCAATTCTGCCTGATCTTGATTAGCTGCGATCAAAGCAGGTTTGGCTCTCTGTCACAACTACAGCCTCATTACTAATCAACCCCTGCTTGTGCCAAATGGCACAGAGAGGATTTCACACATAACACACATTATGTCTCAAATGAAAAAAAAAAAAAAAAAGCTGAACTGGTTGTAGATATAGACAAGCTCTTTCGCTTTACCTAAGTTTCCTTTGAATTTATGGACTATAATCTGCTGCTGAACATCTGAAACATTTCATGTTTGGAAAACAACAGGGACGGGGGGATATAGACTGGAGTAATGGCTAAAAAAAAAAAAAAAAAGCTGAACTGGTTGTAGATATAGACAAGCTCTTTCGCTTTACCTAAGTTTCCTTTGAATTTATGGACTATAATCTGCTGCTGAACATCTGAAACATTTCATGTTTGGAAAACAACAGGGACGGGGGTATATAGACTGGAGTAATGGCTGCTGAAAATTTGTCTTTGCTATGACAGGAATAAATAAAAAATCAGAAAACAGTACATTTTTATATTTCACAAATGTACTGTTTTTACTGTATTGTTGAAAACATAAATATGAGACTATTTTCAAAAATAACTCCAAACTTTAGAATGGTATTGTAAACATTTTTACGAAACTATAAATTTGTTTACTCACCAAAGACAATTTTACTCACATTTGGTGCTCAATGAGTCCGAAATTTCCATACAGGGAAATATATACTATTTTGAGGGAGATATAGTAAATACAGAATGAATATAATGGCATGTAATTAGAGAAATGTATGACTGTGGAAAACGTGGGAAATCTGTGAGTGGAACAGTGAGGAAGAAGGGTACAAAGAGGCTCAAAGATGGATGGAAAACCAAATAAAGCAATAGAAGAAAATGATCGAGGGAGAGGTAGAGGGATGGAGGGGATGTGCAGTGAGGTGTGAAGCAGAAAACAGTGGAACTTTGTTACTCTAATGCACACACACTAAACAATGCTTGCTATGTTTAAAGATAAATTTTCCTCTCTCTCTCTCTCTCTCACTCTCTCACACACACATACACATACACAGGTATACAGTTACCTTATCAAAGCCACATTCCCACATTGTGTTTTGTTTGGTATCTGCAGGAACATGGTTCCCTTTCCCAAGCTATTTTTGTTTAATGTCAAACTTATTTTGACAGCTCACTGCAGATATGTTGTTCATCATATTGCCATGTGAAAAGTTCACGATTTAAAGCAGCTGGTTCTTAACTTGTTTTGCTTTAAGATCAGATTTTATATTGACATAGATTGTCAAATGGCAACCAAATATGTATTATACATAAGCTAACCAAAATATCCTTAATATCACACATTGAGGTTTACTGTTGAGTTTTTGCTGCATTTTCGATCAAATAACTGCAGTCTTGGTAACCATTATTTAAAAAAAAATCGTACACATTCCAAACTTCTGAATGGTAATGTTTGTGTAGATTTTATTATCAATATAGTACTTTAAATAAAAGGTCCCACCTTATATTAGGTGGCCTTAACTACTATGTACTTACATCAAAAAATAAGTACAATATACTTACTGTGTTCATATTGTATTGTAAAAACATGTATGTACACAATAAGTGCATTGCATTGAATGATTAATTTAAATGTAAGTACATAGTAGTTAAGGCCACCCTTATTTGGGACCAAATAAAAATAGGTACTAGGATCTGCAAAAATGGTGTCCTGAACATATTAATTGCACATAATTTCATGCTCTCATTTTGACTTTGTCAGGTTCAAGGTTCACGGTATTACCGCAAGCACACTATTGCGAAGTTCTGTCACCTTCCTCCTGATGATCCTCCGTTTACCTCCCCTCCTCCACCCGAGCTGCCCCCGCCACCTCCTCCCCCATACGGCCGCGGGCCCGCCTCCTATCGAAATCGCCGTTATCACCGGAACTCATCGCGTTCGCGGACCCAGACCCTTCCGTCTCCGGTCGCCTCCAGGACGCCCACACTGTGCGATCAGGAAGGCCGCATGCAGAGGCTCCAGAGGGATGTGGAGCTCTTACGGGCCGGATGGACAGGCCACCGCACACAGTCCCTCTTTTCTCTCCCTACAGACGAGTCCCGCTCCTCGTGTGCCTCTCCGTCAAGCTTCCGTCCTCGCTGCTTCTCTTCAATGGCTGCTCCAATTTTCCGTGTCAATGTCGATACGCTAGTGGGAGCCGAAGAGACGGATGTGGACACGGGACAGACCATCAGTGGCAGCTCTGTGGACCTATCGGTGGTCTCAGGTTATTCCCATCCACAGCTGAGGCCCCATTTAAAGGCCCCAGCACTGCGGCCCAAGTCTGCTCCTCCAACAGATGGAGGTCTTGACTTCGCTGATCTGACCTATAATAATGCCTCCTCCATAAGACAGACTCCTGTGCCGTCTAGAGCACAGAGCATCTCTGCAAAATCCACACCTTGTGTTGTACACGAACCACAGCTAAAGAATGTGAAAGATGTGTTGCAGGACAAAGGGCAGCAGAACAGCAATGGCATTGTGACAGTAGATGATTGTAGTCAAGAAGGCATTGCGGAGGAAGAGCAAGAATTTTATATCTGACACATGCAGGACAATCATCTCATCAGCATGTATGCGGGTCTTAAAGAGGGAATTTTGAGGTCTTCTATAATTGCAAGCAGCTGAATATTAAAATGTGGAAAACCCTTAAACCGATGTTCACCCAAAAATGAAAATTCTTTCATGATTAACTCGCTCTCATATTGTTCTAAACTCGTAAGACTCGCATGAAACACAAAATTAAGACATTTTAATGAAACCTGAGATGGTTCATTGAAAGTCCAGGTAATCAAAACCTCAAGTCATAAAGGTGTTGACAAATAATTGCAGTTTAATAAGTCTTGTGAAGAGGTAAGGTCACGTTATATGAGTAGATTTAATTAGGCATTTATTCACATGAAAACACATGGTAAACATTTAAGCTCAAATATGTGCACACACATGTGCATTGACTTTCAATGGAGGGACAGAAGCATAGGTTTAATTAAAATATCAAAATTTGTGTTCCGAAACGGGTTTGGAACGACAAGAGGGTGGGTCAAGGATGACAGAATTTTTTTGGGTGAACTCTATTTAAGCTTTTGTTCTATAGTGCATTTGTTTTATTAGCAACAGGCCATGCTTAAGAATGTGCATTCATAATGAATGACTTTAAGACTGAATCAAATTGACTTGTGTTTGTTGTATGTTGTGGTATTCTGTAATGTTTCATAATAGTTGTAATAACAAAGGGGCTTCATTGCTTATGTCAGAGAGCTCAGCGAAGAATAAAACTCTGCCACCTAGTGGTTGAACATAGTAACTACACAGGAGCTAGACACTTGAGTCATGAGGCAGGTCGCTCATTATTAGAGAAAAGATTGAAATCTCCACAGTTTGTACAGTTTCACAATTTGTTCCGTGTAAGAGTTTAAGAAAATGTTGTGTTTCTGACCTAAATGTAATGCTTTACATTTTCACACGTTTTAAATTATATGTAAATATTTTGTTTTAATGACCTCTCAGTGACCTGTGCAAAACATCACTGATTATATGGATAGACAAGAAAATAATCAAGGAACTCATTGATGTCTGCATTTACAAATATAACATTATGGTGTGAATTACTTGCCGTTGATGTTGTAAAAACAAAACCCAAATAATTATTATGGTTACTATAGGGGTTAGCAGCTGTTTCTCTGAGGAAAAATACATAAATAAATAATGAATTGTGGGAAGTCGCATACTTTTACAACAATTGGTCCCTGGGTCGTGTTATAAATTGTTTAGAAATTCTTTATCCAAGTGCATTGCATCTTGTGCATAATGTTGCCAATATGCTCACAAGTCTTACACTTCATTGTAAAGGAATATGCAGACGTGTTAATCAAACCATTACTATCAGTTACCTATATAAATCTTACAATTCTTTTCAAAGCTTGGTTCAGTTTAGAGTCAAAGGTCAAAGATGTTCATGTTTCATTACAATCATGTAACACGAACACATACAGGACAGCCCTTGTGAGTTGCCCCTCTCTCAGTGCCAGATCACTCCCCATGCGTTCCCAGCTAATCCCATGAGCGTACCTGGCACATCGCTACAGCGATACCGCCTCTCAGTGCTACTGCGCTCCGGCACTGGACTGGGATTCTGTTAATCCGGTCCAGCAGCCATAGAGGGCAGGAGGGGTGAACGACAGCGAGCACTAGTTCCCTGCTAGACCCCGCTAGAACATAAGTCAGGTCTAATAAAGGCCTTTCCTGTGAAGGAACTACCTTACTGACTATTAATATGCAGCAAATTAGGAGTTTATTGAAGCAAAAGTTGTAGTTAGTTAGTTAATTGTGAGAAATGGTCTCTAAACTAAAGTGACCAATATTACTTAGCTGAATAACAGTAATTAATTAAAAAATAAAAAATATTGTTATTATTGCGTACTATAGCATAAGCAGTACTGCTCACCCTATAATAATAACTTCTACTATTAATGTGTATTTAAAGACATGTATTAATATTTGTAACAGTAATGATGCACATTATTAGCAGTTATTAGTATTAGTACTCACCCTATATTAATAATAATAATTACTGTTATTAATAGGAATAGTAATAGTAATTCATTTAAAAATAAAAAATATTATTATTATTGCATACTATAGCATAAGTAGTACTGCTCACCCTATTAATAATAATAATAACTACAATTAATGTGTATTAATATACACATGTATTAATATTTATGACAGTAATGATGTATATTATTAGCAATTATTAGTATTCATACTCACCTTATATTAATAATTACTACTATTAAGGTGGTAATAATAATAATTATTATTATTATTACAACCATCACCATCATGACACTAATATATTAAATTATTATCATATAATGCAATCCACTACATACTTAATTGTGAGAATGTAATTCTGAACCTGGAGTATGTCGAGGCAGTGAATGTCACACACCCTGATGGGCTTTTTCCACTTAGAACGGTCCAATTGTTTTAGACATATTTTTAAATCTTTTAATGTTTTAGTTCATCAATATTTGACCCATTAAATGACTTTCTGTATTCAAAGTATGTTTGTGTACCAACTTTTAAATATCTGACCTCAAGATGAAAGAGGAGTTGTTTACTTTGGACGGCATTTCTTTGGCTGCATTGTCCTTGCCCAAGTGACCCTGACTTTCCCATCATCATTTCCCTTCTTAAAAATTCAAATGCCATGGATGGAATACTGGAATTTAAAAAAATCTGTCTTCTCCACTGATTGCTGCCAAGTTGGTTCTACTAATTAACATGCCTTCTGCTGGGCACCGTCCAAATACCTGATGCTTACTGATCATTTCCCGCTTGCAGTTTACCATGGGAAAAATGTCTCTTCAATCCATTAGGGTCATTTGTGGAAACTCCACTTACAGTGGCGATCTGACTTTGACAATGTATAACAATTGTTTAAAATAAATATTTGGTAACACTTTAGTATAGGGATAAATTCTCAGTATTAACTTGTTGCTTATTAGTAGCCTATTATTAACAAAAGCTATTGGATGTTTATTAGCACTTATAAAGCACATATTCTGCATAACCATCCTACATCCCAAATCCAATACCTAAACTTAACAGCTATCTTACTAACTATTATTAAGCAGCAAATTAGGAGTTTACTGAGGCAAAAGTTGCAGTTAATGGTGATAATTGAACCTTAAAATAAAGTGTGACCAAATGTTCTTTTGTTTCTTTCTTCATTAAAGAATCCTGAAAAGAAATCTAAATTTCTGAAAAAATATTAAGTAGCACATCCATCAAACATGCGATAATAATAATAATAAAAATCTTGAGTACCAAATCAATATATTAGAATAATTTCTGAAGGATCATGTGACAATGAAGACTGAAAATGAGCCTTTACTGGAATAAATTATATGTTTGAATATATTAAAAAATAAAAAATTATTTTACATTTTAGTAATATTTCACAATATTGCTGTTTTGCTTTGTTTTGTTCAAATACATGCAGCTTGGTGAGTATAACACTTCTTTCAATCAATTAATAATTATAGTTTATAGAGATGTTAATAGTTTGGTAAAGCTTGTGTAATGACTTCCTCTCTCTATTATGTGTGTGTGTGTGTGTGTGGCTGGATTTGCTGGTCGAGCGCATGCCTCCCTCTGCCTGGCTCCTTATAGTGCCGGGTGGGAGGCAGGAATTCTGACCGAGTGGTACGGACATCGCCGCCGGAGACCACAAACACGAAGCTCTCCCTTTAAACAAGGTCTCATGATCGACAACTCTTTCAATCAGTTGTCCTGGCGTGGAGGATCAGGGAGAACGCACGTCCTCCTGGAGTGACAGTGATAGTGGAGCTGAACATCAGGAGCAGCTGACACTCACCCAATCCAGAGGACGAGCCGGCTGGTAAGAAGTTCCTAAATATTTTAATTCAATCATACATTTTAATTATATTTTGTTTTTAATTATACTATATATTTTTAATTTTATATTTTAATTATAGGCCTATTTTGATCAATATCAATGTAAAACTATAAATGTAGCAAGCATTTCTGTTAAGAAGTTTAATTTCATTATTTTCGTATTGTGATTTACACCACTTCATGTTGCATTAAAGGGGTCATATGATGCTGCTAAAAAGAACATTATTTTGGGTTTTTGGTGTAATGAAATGTGTTTATGCGGTTTAAGGTTCATAAAAACACATTATTTTCCACATACTGTACATTATTGTTTCTCCACTATGCCCCGCCTTTCTGAAACGCGTCGATTTTTACAAAGCTCATTGGTCTGAAAAGCGAGGTGTGCTCTGATTGGCCAGCTATCCAGTGCGTTATGATTTTCCGAATACCTCAAGCGTGTGACGGAAATGTTAGTTACGCCCCTCACCATCACCATTGTGATGATGCCCTGTCAGGCCGGAGCGATGATTCAAAAACGTGAAAACCCATTATAAACGAGGCATTCGTTGCATCCAGTGGGGACATAATTATGGATTATAATGACTTATACTGTCTTTTTACACGTTGCGTTGCATCGCGCCGTGTAAACATAAAACCATGACTGCATTTGTGATCTGAGAAATGACAAACAACAAGCCCTACTCTACACTGCCCAATATATAAAATATAAAAACTCTTTAAATACAAAAAACTTACTTACAGTCTGCGAGTCAGAACAGCCGGCATTGTAGTCTACTCTACCAGGATCAGGAAACAGTCCTCCATAAAATGTGCTGCACACATCTGAATATTTGGGTTAAACTGTTCTGGAACAGTGTTGTAAATACAACTTAACCACTGATTTCTAGTCGTGTCCATTTTTGGAAGGCCAAACAAAGTAGTTTCGCTTTTACAACAAAACACCACGGCGGCCTTGAGGGAGCAGAGGCGACAGATTCAACGAAGGAGCATCTGGAGTGCTTGCAGCAACCACATGTGACGACCCCGGGCTGGACTCCGCGTCGTCCACGGTGAAAGCCGATCCGGTGATCCACAGAGTGAAGTTGTAGTATTTTCTCAGCAACCAGCACGGATCAGCTCTAGGCATGACGAAGCAGATATCATCCTCTTTTGGAAGGCCAAACAAAGTAGTTTCGCTTTCACAACGAAACACACAGTGTCTTCACGACATGGCTGCGGCGGCAACAATACTACAGCCAGAATAAAAGTTACGCCTTCTTTCTTTGTGTGAACATTTGGGCGGCATTATGCAAATCTTCCCACATCGTGACGTATAGACATGTGGGGGCGTGTTAGAAGGAGACGTTTTAGGTAGGCGTGGCTGACTCTTAACTTTTATAAAGAATATCTCTTTGGATTTTAGACTTTAGTCTTTGCAACTTTACAGATCTTCTTTATGCACCAAGAGCTTGTAACACTCCAAAGAGAAAGGAAAAATTGAAATCGCGTCATATGACCCCTTTTAATATTAGATATATGGAGGCTGTGGCATAGTTCACCCAAAACTGAAAATTCTGTCATCATTGTTTTAAACAAAACATCAGATAAACATAAAATAAGATATTTTGTGAAATGTCTCAGTGTTTTTTTTTGTTTTTTTATTATCCATACAATGGAAATCAGTGGTCACCAAAACTATTTGGTTACCAACATGCTTCAAAATATGTTATTTTGTGTTCCACAGAAGAAAGTATGACTTACAGGTTTGGAATGACATGAGGGTGAGTAAATTATGACCGATTTTTATTTTTTCGGTAAATTATCCTTTAATTTTTTTAACATTCATTCAGAACAGAGGCCACACATCAGTGCAATTAAGATACTAATCTTAAAAATGAATCAAATCTATTATAAAGATTAACCAACTTTATCCTTGCTTGCAAAAGTTGTGCTGCTGAAAAGTGGGTGATAGTAGTATTATATTTTGTACAGAATCAACATAGGGTTACACCAACAAAAGTAGGTTATCTTTAATAGATATCAAATACATTATATGTGACCCTGGACCACAAAACCAGTCATAAGGGTCAATTTTTCGAAATTGAGATTTATACATCATATGAAAGCTGAATAGGTAAGCTTTCCATTGATGTGTGGTTTGTTAGGATAGGATATTTGGTCGAGATACAACTATTTGAAATCTGGAATCTGAGGTGCAAAAAAATCAAAACACTGAGAAAATCACCTTTAAAGTTGTCCAAATGAAGTTCTTAGCAATGCATATTACTAACCAAAAATTAAGTTTTGATATATTTACAATAGGAAATTTACAAAATATCTTCATGGAACATGATCTTTACTTAATATCCTAATGATTTTTGGCATGAAAGAAAAATCAATAATTTTGACCCATACAATGTTTTTTTGGCTATTGCTAAAAATATACCCCAGCGACTTAAGACTGGTTTTGTGGTCCAGGGTCACATATATATTTTATTATTTCAACTTGTAACCAAATCCATAATTTATTTTTGAGTTGTTCTGGAAAACATTTGCAGATTTTGACCTGTTGATCATGCATCAGCTGTCTGTGACTTGCCTGTTGCTCTGTCTGTGGCTGCTGGAGCGCTGCCATGGCAACAGCCACAATGATCTACGCACACAGTTTGGCATCAGCCTCTACCAAACACTCACAGAGACGGAGAACAACTCCAACCTGATCGTGTCCCCAGCCAGCGTCTCGTTGTGTCTGGGTCTTCTGCAGCTCGGTGCCAGGGGAAACACTCTAGCACAACTTGAGGAAACTCTGGGATATGACGTGAATGGTAAGAGGAAACTAGCGGCACACCTGTAATCTGTATGTTGTTTTCCTAAATAGTTCAAAATATAAATCGGCCATCTGACAACCTGCCTACCTGCCATTGTCCAGTGCTTGAAAAGTTAACATGACAGTTTTGATGATACAATGGTCTCCTCGCAGATGCTCGAGTGCAGGACATTCTGTCTCGGCCACAAGGAGACCTGGGTAATTCCAGTGACGGGGTGCGGCTTCAGCTTGCCAATGCCTTATTTGTCCAGAGTGGTGTGAAACTCCTGCCAGAATTT